CCTATAATGATTATTGTTTATTTGGGTTGCTGTTATTCTTATTAGTAGTAGTAGTAATCTGTTATCATTATTACCATTATTATCATCATCATCATCATTTTTATTATCACCCTTATCATTGTTATTGTTATTCATCATCATCATCATCTTTTTGAGATATTCACATCATAGACTCTATTTAACTGATTTTCTTAATACCATACAAATGTAAATTGCATTCTACCAGTAAAAATATATCGAAAATATTAGACGATACTGTTGTGGATACCGAATTCCTTAGGGATCCAGATCAAAGACTATATACGTAGATAGTCTCTGATCCAGATTAAGAAAACCGTAATACATCCTGTTGAGTACATTAGAGGTCAAATGATGGACCTTGGGTGTATTTTGGTTATAGCAACAAACCGAGGGCGTATGAGAAAAGGCATATCAGGTTAGCCGGGATGTTATAAGCTGTCTTTTCTATGACTACAAAAAATGCAACCTTGCCTATTTAAAACTCTAAATTCACTTATTTCAAGAATACATTTTTGTGTTTGAATGAATGTCATTGACTGCAATGAATTTGCAGAAACGATAACAGCTTATTGTATACATTTTCTTCTGAAATATGAAATTCGAATGTGGTGATATATGAATAGCATTTAATCGTGAAAGTTCGTAGCCAGATATTTTACCAGTCAGATTTGCCTTTATTTGTGACCAAAACCTCTATAGGCATTTCCAAAATCTGCTATTCAAATTTAGAATAGGCTCTCTCTCTCTCTCTCTCTCTCTCTCTCTTCTCTCTCTCTCTCTCTCTCTCTCCTCTCTCTCTCTCTCTCTCTCTCTCTCTCTCTCTCTCTCTCTCTCTCTCCACACAAAAACACACTTATATATATGTATATATGTATGTATCACATTTATATCACATTTGTATTTACAAAACCATGTAAAGTATTACCATAAGAAGCTAAAATTTCAGAATGCTAAAATGCAGTTACACAATAGGCAGTTTAGGATTTTTTTTGCAGTTATACATTACTTTGCTTATTCCCTTGAGTATAAAATAACGATGATATAATCAGAAAAACTGAGAGTTACTGACCTCATCTTGTAGTAGAAACTAGATAGTAAATATATAAATGAATTGTCCAGTTTACTGCTGTGGCTTATGGTGAGCAGTCCCTTCGTACCAGCCTAGTATTTAGCGCACTCGTATGGTTGGGCAATGGGAAAGACCAGGTTACCATAATGTCACATATTTCGGTGAGCCAATGTGACAGTGAGTATTGTTTATACCTTTTAAAAAGACCTTATACAGCTAGTTTCTTTGTCTTCCTGAAGGTTAACGATTTCCAAAGTTTTTGAAAATATCCCTGTTAATAGATTTTATATCTCTACTTTCAAAGGTTTGTTTATATTAACCATGTTAGGGTAGTTTTTGAAAATAGGTCGTAGAAGAGTTTGATTAAATAATTTGGGCGATGGTGTATGACCTATTGTCTGATCAGCCGTGGCCATTTCTTCACCACCTTTATCTGTCATGTAGCATGATTTACACCATCGATGGTGTGGAATAGGAACGAAGGTGGAGGACAGTTGTTTCTGTGGCCATCACTAAAGACAGCAGCCGGTCTTATAAGGTGAGTATTCTCTTTTTGGGTTTGAATGTGTTAATTTAGGTAAAACCTTCAAAACATTCTATGTTGTGTATTTATCGAAAATGTCTACTTTACTTGTTAAAATAAAGGTATTTATATTGAAATGGTGCCTGATTATCTTCGTCATAGTGTAAACACATCAGTGGAAGTGTCGCCCTGATATGTATGAACTGTACAGTCAGAGGTATTCATTGCCATGGCTAACACATTACCAAACTTCATGCATATACCTTGACTCGCTACTGTATATACGACGATACAGTGCCGCGACCAATGAATTAGCGGTGCGATGTGTAAAGAAAAACAGACATGTAACCCTCGATTTTTCTATCACACGATCACTTTCCAAAACGTCGTTCTTGGCCATTCTCCAATAATTTGACACAGCATTTCCTGGTGAGTAAAATGAATTTCTCTAAACTCTGGAGATCGGATTTACCGCTCATAAATTTTAGAAAATCGGCTTGGCGGGTTATGGTCGACTGAATGGCGGCAAAAAAAAAAAAAAAAAAAAAAAAAAAAAAAAAAAAAAAAAAAAAAAAAAAAAAGTCATGGTTGTAAATAGATTTTAAAAATAGCGTGATTGATGAAAACGCTGCTATAGATAATGTAAAGTAGATTAATGTAACACATGCATAAATGTCATTAAAAAAAAATGATGATATAGCAGTATGAAAATACAGGAAAATGTACAATGACATTTATTGTTTTATTTATTCGGTATTATACGTTTCAAGTGTAATGACCCCTGTTGCCAAGCCATTCTGTCTGCTGATTTCCTGGTCTGACAGCCCAGAGTTATGAACTACACTACCAAGGTATGTAAAGCTCTCTGTGACCAATGTCCTCGCCGCAAGCATGTACCGACCGAACAGGTTCTTCTAGCAAGTCCCCAAAGTCCTGGATCTTGGTCTTGGTCCAGGAGACCTCTAAACCCAAGGGCTTCGCTTCATTACTAAATGCATCGAGAGCCACCACTAAGGTTTCCAAAGACAGATAGAATAGCAACATCATCAGCAAAGTCAAGGTCGGCAACCTTGATATTACCCAGAGTTGCTCTACAATGACTGAATAGTAGCTCTGCCTAGTATTCAGTCCATGTAAGTGTTGAAAAGTGTTGGTGCAAGAACACAGCCTTGCCTCACTCCTGAACTGACAGGAAAGAAGCTCGAGAGGCCCCCACCATACTTTACAACACTTTAAGTACCAATATACAGACTTGCTATCAGTCCAAGTAACCCTTGTTGGAATTCTCAGTCTCAGGATCTCCTCCCAATGCACCGTATCGAACGCCTTCTTGAAGTCGATGTAGGCTGCAAGCAGCCCACGCCCGAATTCCCGACGGCGCTCTACAATGACTTGAAACACAAGGATACGGTCAATTGTGGACACCAGGAGCGAATCCAGATTACTCCGGCCTCTGATACCTCAGTAGGTGGTTTCTGATACGTCTCAGAAGGATGTGGGCAAGAACCTTGCCTGGTATACTGAGCAATGTGATGCCTCGGTGATTGCTGCAGTCCCATCGGTCCCCCTTCCCCTTCCAGAAAGGGATGACCACACCCCTCAACAGGTCAGGGGAATGGATACGGACCGCCAGATGGTAGCCAGGACAGCATGTAACCCATGCGCCATAGGTTCCTCACCAGCCTTTAACAGTTCAGCTGGGATGCCGCAAATACCCACTGTTTTGCCACTCTTCAGATAGGATATCGCCCCCCTAACTTCAGTTAGGGAGGGTGGGTCCTCACTGTTGGGTGGGTCCGGC